TTTTTAACAGTTTGGTCTTTTGATTTTAAATGGCTTTAGGCTTTTCTAAAGTTAAACTGATTTAATGCCGTCACTGATTTCCTTTAAGAATCAAAGTTGTTTTAGACTCAACTACTTTTATTCACTGAATTCTCAGTCATTTTGCCTAGAAACAATATGGTCTTCTCTCATCTCACCATTCAAACAAATATGAGACTACTAATTCTAAATTCTTGTTCAAATCTTGTCTTGGGCAATGAAGGTTGATGGACTAAGAGATATCAAAACACTTTCACAGCTCTGGTTTGAACATTCAAATCAGACCCTGATTGTCACCAGATAAAAACTTTGCTAAGAGATGGCTCCCAAAGAGGCAGAGCTTTGTGGAGTTTTTCCCAATCACAAGTTTTCTAGAGGGAAGCAACTGGCTGAAGCAATAAACAGATTAAGTAGAAACCAAACTTGTAGAGGTGGGGATGGGAGCATGTAAACATATATAAATATATGTAAACATATATAAAATGTACTGCATAAACAGAAGCAAAAACAAAGATCATATGATCACGTCAATAGATGCAGAAAAAGCATCTGACAAAATTCAGCACCCTTTCATGATAAAAAACCGTCAACAAACTAGGCATAGAATGAACATATCTCAAAATTATTAAAGCCATATATGACAAATCCGCAGCCATACTGACTGGAAAAAACCTGAAAGCATTCCCACTAAGAAGTGGAATAAGACAAAGATGCCCATTGTCAATACTTCTATTCAAACAGTGCTGGAAGTCCTATCCAGAGCAATCAGGCAAGAGAAAGAAATTAACAGTATCTAAATTGGGAAAGAGGAGGTCAAACTATCACTTTTTGCAGATGATATGATCTTACATCTAGAAAACCCCAAAGATTCCACCAAGAGACTCCTGGAATTGATAAATAAATTCAGCAAAGTCTCAGGGTACAAAATCAATGTACATAATTAGTAGCATCCCTGTACACCAATAATAGTCAAGCTGAGAGTCAAATCAAAGACTCACTACCATTCACAGTATCTACAAAAAGAATAAAATGCCTAGGAATACACTTAATCAAGGAGGTTAAAGAACTCTACAAAGAAAACTATGAAACACCGAGAAAAGAAACTGCAGACGATACGAACAAATGGAAAAACGTATCTTTGCTCATGGATTGGTAGAATCAATGTTGTTAAAATGTCCATACTACCCAAAGTGATTTACAGATTCAATGCAATCCCCATCAAAATATCAACATCATATTTCACAGATCTAGAAAAAATAATTCTATGCTTTGTTTGGAACCAGAAAAGAGCCCAAATAGCCAAAGCAATTCTTAAACAAAATGAACAAATCTGGGGACATCACATTACCAGACTTTAAACTATACTACAAAGCTATAGTAACCAAAACAGCATGGTATTGGCACAAAAATACAGACATAGATCAGTGGAACAGAACAGAAAACTCAGACATAAAACCATCCACATGCATCCAATTGCTCTTTGACAAAGCAGAAAACAATACACACTGGGGAAAATAATCTCTATTCAATAAATGGTGCTGGGAAAATTGGATAGTCACATGCAGAAGAATTAACAGGATCCCTATCTCTCACCGCTCACAAAAATTAATTCAAGATGGATAAAAGACTTAAATGTAAGGTATTTACCTAAAGGAAAAAAAGTCATTTTATCAAAAAGAAACTTGTACTTGAATGTTTATTACAGCACAATTCACAATTGCAAAAATGTAGAATCAACCCAAGTGCCATCAATTTGTGAGTGGATTAACAAAATGTGATATATACAAAATGTATATATATATATATATAATATATACATATTATATATATATATATATATAGCTACTCAGACATGAAGAAGGATGACTTAATGCCTTTTTGCAACAATTTGGATGAACTGGAGACCATTATCCTAAGTGAAGTATCTAAAGAATGGAAAAACAAACATCACATGTACTCACTATTAAATTGGAACTAACCAATGAGACACATGTGCACAGAGGGAGGTAAAACTCAATAGAAATCATGCAGGGGGAAGGTGGGAGGAGAGGAGGGGTGATAATCTACTTAATGAGTACAATGAACATTATTTGAGTGACAGGCACACTTATAACCATGACTTCAGCATTATAAAAGTGATCCATGTAACCGAAAATATTTGTACCCTTGTAATGCTTTGAAATACACAAAAACCCAAAAAAACCCATAGATCAAGAAATAGCCCTGATGAAAAGAATGTCCCTGTCTTGCTCTGTCCTAAGATGTGGAAATGAACAGAAACTCACTCTATAAATTAGTGAAAATCTAATAAGAATGATTATTTTGTGACATCAATGTGATTTTTAAAACATTTTTATCTTGAAATGATCTGAGGCTTACAGAAATATTGCAAAGATAGTAGAAAGAGTTCACATGTACCCTTCACCCAGCTTCTCCTGCAGTTAACATATTACAACCACAGTACAATTATCAAAGCTAATAAACTGAAGCCAAGATATGGAAAAAACCTAAGTGTCCAAATGAATGGACAAAGAAAATATCGCATATATGCACAATGGAATACTATTCAGCCACAAAAAAGAATGAAATCCTATCACTCCAGGGAACATAGGTGAATCTGGAGAATATTATGTTACTTCGTGAAATAAGCCAGGCACAGAAAGACTTTCATTCACATGTGGAGGTTTAAAAGTTGATCTCATAAAAGTAGAGAATCAAACTGTGGTTAGTAGAGGTTGGTAACAGTGGTGTTGGGGTGGGGAAGGGGGGAATAGCCCAAGGCTGGTTACCAGATACAAAGCTACAGTTAGATAAGAGGAATAAGTTCCAGTGTTCTACAGCACTGTAGGATGACTACAACTAACAACAATCTATTGTATATTTTCAAATAGGTAGAAGAACGGATTTCAGATGTTCCCAACACAAAAAATGATAAATGTTTATGGTGATGAATATGCTAATTATCCTGATTTGATCATTACACATTGTATGCATGCATTGAAATGTCACACTGTACCCCCAAACATGTACAATTATGTGTCAATTAGAAATAATAATAATAGCAAAAAAAAACTTAATACACTGACAATGGCACAATACTATGAACTATTTGGATTTCGCCAGTTTTCCCACTAATGTTCTCTTTCAGTTTTGGAATCCAATCCAGGATCCCACATTGCATTTAGTTGTCAGACAATATTCTCCTCCAAATCTGTTGCAGTTCCTCGGTAAAGATTTGTCTTTTATGCCCCTGATACTGTTGAAGAGTGCTATTTAGGTTTGTAAAGCTTTCTCATTGTTCAAATGAGGTTATGGATTTTGAGGAAGAATACCAAAGGCATGGTGTGCCCTTTTCAGGATATCATAGCAGGAGTATATGAGCTCAATATGTCTTATTACCACTGGTATTGACCTTGATCACTTGGTTAAGCTGGTGCCTTCCAGAATTCTCTTACTGTAAAGCTACTATTTTTCCCTTTGTAATTAATAAATATTTGGAGAAAGAAAGTCTAAGGTTATGCAAATATCCTATTTCTCTTTAAACTTTCACCCACTAATTTTAGTATTCATTCATGGATTTTGCCTGTACCAATTATTGCTGTGGCTTTGTGACAACAATTTTCTATTTCCCTCATTCCTTTTACATTTATTAATTTAAAGTCTTCTGTAAGGAAAGTTCTCCTTCTCTCCCATTTATTTATTTATTCAGTCATTTATTTATATCAGTCTGGATTTGTGTGTATATAGTTTATTTGAGAGGTTATAATCCAATAATATTGTTATGCTATTGCTCAAATTGTTCCAGCTTTGGCCGCTGGGTGCTCTTTCAGGTTGACTCCTTTTTGAGCATATCCTCATTTTATGGCACCACAAGATCTTCCAGGCTCATCTTGTATTTTCCTTGTGCTAACCTTAGAATCAACCATTTCTCCAAAGAGCTCTGGTTTCCTTTAAGGGAAAACGGTACAGGGTGAGTATCCTTCATCCAAAATGCTTGAGACCAGAAGTGTTTCTTTCAGATTTCAGATTTTTTTGAATTTGGGATATTGAGCACCCCAAATCCGAAAATCCGAAATCCGAAATTCTCCAATGAGCATTTTCTTTGAGTGTCACATCTGTGTTCAAAAAGTTTCAGATTTTACAGTATTTGGGATTTCACATTTTGGGATTTGGGATGCTCATCCTGTATTTGGAAACAAAGATCTTGTTTGCTACTAGGGCATCACTGTTTCTAGGCCTTTTTGAGGAAAATGAGCCATCCTGTGACTTTTATGATTTACTGATATCAACAGTCCTAAAACTACATAAAAACTGCATAAAAAATGTTTCCTTCCCTTCCCAAACACACTTGGGGACTAAGAACTGCCTTAGAACCCTAGGATCAGGCCTCAAGGATATAAATTCTTAATGGTAGACTTCCCAGAACTTTGCCTGGAGCCCCTAAAATCATATGCCAATCTAGTCAGTCCCAGGAAGGAAGCAGTTTCCATGCAGGATACTAGCTGTGACTCAGCAGTTCTTCCTCCCGGAATGGAGCATGTCTGGATATATGGAACTACTTTCTCCTTTGTGACCAGAGACTATGACTGCATGGCCTACAGGGAGACCTTAATTAAGCAAGAGAGCTTAATTTTTATCTCAATTTAATTCTAAGTATCATAAGGACCTAAAATAATGTATTTGTAGTTATTACTTGGGTAGAAAAATAAGAGGAATGTAAACAATGTATCGAGGGTTTATTTTTAAGGATTTGAGTTATTTTTCAACTTCTAGGTCACCGTCCTATCTTTGTTTTGTCTTAGACAAATATGTTACAGTGTATTCCAACTGACTGGTAAATTATGTAGCAGAAAGTATTATGGCATTCAAAAACAATAGCTTTCTAAGAAATATTACAATAAAATACTATGAAGAATTTGCATGTTATTAAAAAGGATACTTTAAAATACACATTTAGTATAATAAATTCTGAGTTTACATACCGTTAAAGGGAGACTCTTTGAGAAAATGGCCTTCTCGCTGTGTATCTGTGGTTTAGAGTTGGTTTCTTTCAAATCTGAACAATTAAAAAGAAATAAGATTTTCAACACACACACCTATTCACAATCCTTACACAACTCTGGAAGCCAAAATGTACACACATAAGTAAATTTATTTTCTCTGTCGGACTTCATTTTGAATGTTTGCTTTCCTGAAGCTTATAATGCTTTGTATTCTCTAGAAATAACCAAGAGACCACAAAATGACTCATCATAAGTCATGGAGGGCTGGAAATCTTTTAAAATTATTTCATAAAAGAGACAAGGATTTGATTCACTTCACCTGCTATCCTAGCTTAGCCACTAACATGAGTTAAGGCCCTTTCTATCTTTTATGTCAAATTGATGATGATACCTACATTATTGTGCAAACTTAGTAAAACTAGATCTTAAAAGGATTAATAAGCTTGAAAAATGCGTGATAAAAGCCACACACTGAAAAAAATGATACTTAGTAAAACATAACCTCCTAAGCCTAAGGTGAAAGTACAGTGAAAGTACAGTGGTGTGCCACAATTTAGGCATGGCAGATGCTATATGGAGCAGATTTTTTCAGAGGAAGACTCAGAAAGCAGAGTATCTAAGTGAGTGTTGTGTAGGTCTTAGGATTTACATCTCTGCCTCTTATGAAGGACTCAAGGGTTCCAGAATAGCTGTATTTTCCATAAAGACAAAATAGCATCTAGTGCCAAAGTCTTATCATCACAGCCTGGACACTTTCAACATTCACATCCAGACTCAACATTCGGCACAGTTTAACCTACACAAAGCTCTATGTTTTTTTTCTCTTTTACTTCTGTAGCTTTCAATTTAGAATTTACAAAACTATTTTATTACTTGATGCATGGCATAAAAGTAGCAGACCATGAAGAGAAAATGTTTTCCCATTTTCTCATCTGTAATATGAAAGAATATGAACTCCAGCCAATGTACTTTGCTTGTTTATTATTTTTTTCTCTAGCATTGTTTAGTACTTCTATCTGGAAATTGAAAACCTTTTCATGCAAACTCCATTATCAATAATAAAACAATTTTGTTTTTAGGATGGGAAAAAAACATTTTTTCCCAATAATTTTGTTTTCTTCTATAGAAAAAGCCAATTTGTCAGTGTTTTATGCCTGCATGTTTTCTGGCAATGACTGCTGACCTATAACAATGTACATAAACATTCTCTAATTTGTTAGCCAAAAACAAAAGGAGCAACCACACCAAAACTGTTCGTTATATACAACATGTATAATAAGAGAAATAACTTTATCTATAAGCGATTACCACTTTGACTTCTTTTTACATTTAAGGCAACTACAAAAAGTGCTCAAATATGTGAAAACAAAAGGAAAGAATATTAATTTTAAAATTTGAACAAAATCTCCATGTAACAAAGTAAAGAATGTTGATTCTAGGTTAGGATTAAGCCATACTATCTTTCCTTGATACTTGTTCGAATTTTCCTTTGAAATATATATAAATTCAGAAGTATTAAGAAGTAGACAGAGGAAAAGTAAAGATTTCTAGAAACTGCTATCTATCTATGCCTAGCTTATAATCCTAATAGTTGGATCAAATAGAAAACTGGTGTGGTTTTCACTACTTTCAGAGGCAGACAGAATTCCATAACTTTCCCCAAACCCTCTTCCACTACTAAGATCAGTACTCTCTTTTATGTCCATTCCGAATTGCAATGCATTTTAAAAGGAACAGCCTCCAGATATAAAATATGGTAGGGAAGAGACAAGATCCATTCTGAGGGCAGCACATATCAAGAATTATAGTTCTATCACATTTTCCACCTGGTTAATTAAATAAAGCTGGATTTATATTCATTATATTATAGACTCCCCTACTCAGCCCTGTAAGCCAGAGAACCAGGCTATGAAGACTGCAGACAATCCTCACACTTCAACAGAACGCACACAAGATGAAGGCTGCTCATAACTGCTTATTCAACTGTTTATATCTGGGATAGGATTTTTACCAGTATCTAAGTAGGTAGTAATAGAGGGCAAGGGCAATTTACTCAGACTAATTTGTCTGAAATGGAATAAATAGTAAAGTTGACTTAAGAAACAGAAAAACAATTAATAATAGAAATAACTGAAACCTTATCAAAGGATGACTTCCCGCAAAAGCTCTGGGCCTAGATAATTTTATAGGTGAACTTTTTGAAACTTTCAAGATGATTTTCTTGCTATATAAACTCTTGCTGAGTAGAAAAAAACATGGTAACCAAATTAATTTGTCTCATTAATACTAATATTACATCCTTACAAACAAAATTATCAGTCCCATTATTAATACTGATATTAAATAACTAAAATGCTAATTAACAAATTTAAGAATTTACTAAAAGAATGAACCACCATAATCAAGTTATATTTATCTTAGAGAAGCAAAGAAGATTTAATATTAGAAAATCTAACAAAATGTGTCATTAGCCCTAGGTCAAATTTTTTAAAAAACCAAATGATTCCCAAAAAATATTTTTAAAAAATACTCAATAAAATTCAACATTCATTCTTCACGAAATTTCTTTTAAAAACTAAGAAAATTTAAGAACAAAAATATTTATGTCAAACTTAACAACCAATATCATCTTTTTTTTTTTAAGACAAGAGTCTCACTCTGTTGCCTGGACTAGAGTGCCATGGCATCAGCCTAGCTCACAGCAACCTCAAACTCCTAAGTAGCTGGACTACAGGCATGCCCCACCATGCCTGGCTAATTTTTTCTATATATTTTTAGTTGGCCAATTAATTTCTTTCTATTTTTAGTAGACACGGGGTCTCGCTCTTGCTCAGGCAGGTTTCAAACTCCTGACCATGAGCGATCCATCCACCTTGGCCTCCCAGAGTGCTAGGATTACAGGCATGAGCCACGATGCCCAGCCAATATCATCTTAACTGTGAAATATTAGAGCAGAATTTCCCAAAATGTGTCCTGTAGGTCACCTGTTCCTTAAGATTTTCCAACAGAAAAGCTCCCATCATAAAATAAATTTGCATATGTTCTTCATTTTAGAAAGTATCTTAGCATTGTGTGTGTATATATATATATATATATATATATATATACTCTGTAAGCCCTACAATATTTTTTTAAATACCATCAACAAAAACGATCTCAAACTTATTTGAACACTTGATTCTTCGCTTTTCAGAATTTCATTCTTTAACCTAAAGTAGTAAAGTACTGTGATTTTTGTCACCCACCTTTCTCCTGAAACTCAAGAACAAGTCGTTTCCTTCCTGCTAAATCCATTCCAGTTTTCTTGATTTTCATCCTAGTTTTCCAGTGACATGCCGGTAAATATTTAACTGGCTCTCCTTGCAGGAAAAAATGCTCTGATTTGTAGTGTTTGCTAATTTCTGTGGTGTAAATACTCCTACCATGACTGATTTCAAATTACCTAAGTGATGTCACTGGGCATAGTTGGGACGAGATGGCACCATAGCATGAACATTATACAGTATTTCCATCATACAGATACAACTGACATGAATGCTCTCAACAATGAGAAATAATTAGGAAGTGATGTGGTTTGTATATTTATTACCTTTGTTTTTAATATAACTTGTTTAATTTTAAGAATATGCAATTTAATTTTTATAAATGGCTGTGCATAACAGTTGGCTCGTTAAAATCCTGAAAATTTAACAACTAACTATCACAAGCTGGGCCAACCTAGCTCCAGCACACCATGTCTCTGCCTCTACAGCATCTGATATTTTGTCCAAATTCTACTATTGAAACTATCTCCTTAGGTTCCCAGAGAACAGTTTCTTCTCATTCGTATCTTATGTTAGTCCCTTTTCCTGGTACTCTTCTTTCTGAGCTTTTCTGTTTCACGTGTTCTGTAAGTTCCTTCTCGGCTTCTTCTTGTCTTTATATCCTTGCCCTTGGCACTCTCACCCACAAACACATCTATAGTTCCCAAATCTTTATCTCGAACCACAGCTCTTCTGTTGAGAGTTCTAAATGAGTGCAATTCAACACACAATTGGACCATTCCTCATTCCTCACAAAATTAAAAGGAATTCCATTCTTTACTGGGGTCTTTCAAAATATGTGAAAGGAGGCTCAATCCATAACCACAAAGCAGCCCTTCTCATATCCCCTTTACTCCATTTCTTTCTAGTTTTTTCATACACCATATTACCCAAAATGTCCCCTTCACCAAAAGCCCTTCTACCTGAACACTTTCTCCATTTCCAGCCCAGTAAATTCATAACCTCTTCCTCTTCCTCTCCTTCCCCTTACCTTTTTATGTATGGCAACCTAAATTTTCTCCAGGTTTTCACGACCAGTTCCTTTCTACTCATTCTCTACAACTTTTTCTTAAGAAATATAGGACTGACTTCATAAGATCAACTTTTTTTAAGGGTAGGGGAAGTGGGTATTGTACTGTCAAATGAAAATTCTCTTTGGTGGGTTGGAAGGAGGTGGAAGGATATGAATACTTCCAAATGGCTAGTTTTTGTCCCCTCTAAGTAAACACATGGTCTGTCCCCTACCTCCACTGTATCTGATTGATGCCATTAGAGACCGGACTCAAGATGGGTCGATTATATCCTTCACCAGATTTTTACAATGCTTAAACAAAATTTGCTTTATTCAATTGACCTCTGCATTCTGAGATGACAAAATAAAATGACTTTATTTGAATTAAGAGGCAATTAACAGAGGGAAAAAAATAAAGAGTTTCCTAACAGTGATGATGGCATTACTGAATATAAATTAAAGATTTAGTTATATAAGGTACCTGGTCACAAGCAACAAGAATAGTTACATGCAAGTTGCTTACTACTTACAAAACATATAAACTGATTTGCAGTGAACTACAACTACTAAAAGTTTAAATTTAATCCATGGTTATAATCCATGGTTAAGTATAATTTAAATATGATTATACTTATATAGATCTAATTGTGAAATGTGAATAGTGGTGAAGGGATGTAGACATCTCATTCTCCAGAAAGTTAAATGCTGGAAAACTAGGCTCGTGTGCAGAACAGTGTGACTGGGTTCAGAATGCCTGGATTCAAATCCTAGTTTTATCACCTGGCAGGTTATTTTACCTCTCTGTTCCTGTTTCTTCATCTGATCTTAATAATGCACATGGTTGTTGAAAGAATAAAATGATGTATGCGATATGCTTAATATAGAGCCTGAAAGAGAACAAGTGCTCAGTAAATACTATTACTATCAGTAGCTAGATGATTTTTTTGGTGCTTGAATTAAAAACGGAATACTGCTTTAGAAGGATGGTCAAGTGACATTTTGGTTCAAGATTTAAACTAAAAGGTAGAACGAATGGAAAGAAAGGATCCTCCAAACAAACATTAAATCATGTGGTTACATTTATAAATCGATTATTATAAACTAAATTATCCTAATGAGTAATATCACTTCACAAAGTTATGACAGCAATTTGGGATTAGCAAGTAAAATGAGACTGGAGATTTAAAATATTAAAGCAACGATTATTTGTTGCACATCTGCTATTTGTTATCAGCGTTCCAAACAATGGAGATTCGGAATGAACAAAACAGACAAATATTACAGCTCTTGTGTAACTGCAAGTATGAAGATATAATAAAAATTAGATTACAAAGGATCATCTGCTATATCTGCCATTTGGAAAAAAGAGGATAGAAACGAAGGTTGTTAAAGACAATTAGTGGTTACCTCAACAAGCCACTATGCTTTACAAGAATTTCCGAGTCACAGTCCACAGACCTCCTTCTGCCATTTGAGGATTAGAGATTCAATACTTAAAAAAAAAAAAATCAAAACACATTTGTGATATCCAATTTTATTTTGCCTCAGAGCAACATAAACATTTTGTTCACATTAAATTCAGAACAAAAAGATCCCTATTTGGTCATTTGATTAGTAGATAAAAATACACTTCACTTCCATATTATAGTTACAGAGAGGAAAGGAAGAGAGCCTCACAGGGAGAATGAGAGAGACAGAGAAATAAGAAAAAAAGACAGAGCATAGGAAACACAAAGAATAAAAGAAGTGGCAGGGGAAGGGGGAATAAGAGACAGAGCTAGGGCAAGGATTGAGAGGAAAAGGAAAAGAGGAGAAAAGAGGGAGGGAGGAAAGAAGGAAAGAAGATCAAAAAGAGAGAAGAGACTCAGAACTCAGAATTAGTCACAAGTAACTGTTTCATAGTCAAGCTCAGCTGTTTACTTTGGATATAAGCCTAAGAAAGAGTTATCATTGGTTTTTTAAATATTAAGAAATTAAGAAGCCACCAAAATTACTCGGCCCCCAAATTTTCCCATTGATAATGACACATAAATGCTACCTTAAGGAAACTACCTTTGTTTTTCTCTACATTCACAATGTCCCTCCTTCTGTGCCTGTGCTCATACACATCTCCATTTGAAATGTCTTGTCTGCCATTGCCCCACCTTCATGGAACAATAGTCAATAAATATTTATTGAGTACCTACTATATACCAGGCACTGTTCTAGGCATATATAAAATTCTGACACATATTTTAGTGAAAAGTATAAGCTGCTTTAATAATACACAATGAAAAGTGGCTATTTTAACAAAATATTCTACCAGACTTAAAGTGAAACCAAGTTTTTCTTCTGCAGCTAACATTTTTCTTCACCTGATACCTAAGCACTAGAATAATCCTTGTGAAAATAATATCCTTTATTTGTGTAAAAACATTCTAGAATCCCCCCCAATACAGTGAGGCTATCACTCCTAAAGGAATCTAAGTACTCCAGATCCTCTGAAATACAATTAAACTATGACCACACTAGCTGCTAAACAATGACAGTAACTGTTTGCTGTTTGTAATAACTAAGTCAAGTAAATTGAAAGTTATTTAAACTTTCACCCACATCAAAATGGCATCCCAAAGATATCCCCAAATGGGTAGTCATGCCAGATCTTGCTCAACGATAGCATGACATCACAGGAGCAAGAACAAATGATCTACAGATCGGCAGCCTGACAGCGATTTACGTAACTCACTTCTGCAGAAGTTCACATTATTTGTGAAAAATATCACATGAAAGAGGAACTTACTATAAATATTAAAACTGGAAATAAATGAATGGCTGAGAAGGCATAAGAGAGTAGTACTTGCTTTAAAAAGAATTGTGGAACTAACTGCACAGACATCTTTAAAATCAAAATTGCATGCAAATTTAGGTAAATGTAATTACAAGGACTACAAAAATGGCCAGAAACTGAGTAGATACTGGTGTTCCCATAGAGCTAATATTGAGGGAAATATGTTCTCTTAAGTCAGTATTAGAGAATAGGGAATCATAGCACCTTACCATTCCAGGCTTGGTTGCCTTATAATGGAAATCCTTTTCTCCTTCCTCTTTAGCTATCTCAAGCCAAGAACTTTTTTTTAAACATTTGAGGTAAAATTCACAGAACATAAAAGTAACCATTTTAAAGGGCACAATCCAGTGGTATTTAGTACATTCTTACAGCTGTGCAACCACCACCTCTCTGTAGTTCCAAAACACTTTCATCACCTCCAAAGGAAATCCTGTGCCCATCAAGCAGGCATCCTCCTTTCCTTCTGCCTCAGCCTCTGGAGACCGCTAATCTGCTTCCTATCTCTACGGACTTGCCGTGGATATTTTATACTAACGAATCACATACGTTGATTCCATTCTTGTTCCTTTTTCTATGTATGTCTTAGTACTTTTCATAAGCCTACTCCGTCCATCTCTGAACTTTCTACTCTAGTTCAATTCCCTCCTTCTCTACGAGGTTTTTCCTAGCTGTACTCTCCACTCCATGCTGACCTTATACTTCTCTGAATTTCTGCATTTGTTTCTTGCCTTACTTATCTCAGCCCTAAATCATATATACTGCTGTGAATTTTTGGTTAACCATTTCAATTTTATCCCTTTTGACTCATCTAGATTATAGACACCTGGCTAGAGAAGCTTTGGTATCCCCCTGTGTGCCTGGAACCTTCTCGAATGGGTGTGCAATTCATTGTGTCCAGCAATACATGAAGGAATAATAAATCAAGAAAACTGAAGTCTCGATGATCAATGAGAGGAAGCCTCAAACCTGTGGGTTCAGTTCTTTATCTTTCCTCCTATCATCTCCTCTCGGTAAGAGTAGTGTGTCCTTGTGTCCAGTAGGGCACCTCTTTGCCCTACTAGCTGAACAGGTGTGATAGCAGAAGGAAAATGGCAGGTTGCCCAAGGGTGGAAAGGATGGAAGTTCCTGTACTGATCTTTAGTGAACAGACCCCTACCATTGTTCTATGTCCACATATGAAGGCCTACCAAGAAGAGTGGGTGTCCAAAGATGTCACAAGGCCATATAAGAAAGGACCCATCCATTTGCTTTGCTTTTATATGTAAATTAGTTTTTCTGTCTGGTATTTTGATTTGAAGTTGCTCATAAACACTTATCTACCTTGTAAAAGGAGATTAACTGTTAAATAATTATGATGATAATACCTGTGATTCATATATGAAATAGCGGAGCAATTAAATTAAATTATATATTATAAACAAATGAATAGGCCAAAACTTGATAGTTGTATCTCACACTTAACAAAGTTTAAGAAGGGAACCAGTTTTATTTTATGCATGAGTAATAAGTCTGAATAACATTTTGTGTTATGCATTATTATAAACTTTTCTCCAGCTCTAGTACTGAGCAGAATTTGTTGCAGTTGCCACTGGAAGCCTCCAAGCGAGAATGTGAAACAGTGCTCTGGCCCGAAGGCCATTAAAAACCTGTTCTTCTGACAAGAACAACTGAAAGATCCAACCTAGAATGCTGAAGTCTGTAATTAACATTTTTTCCCTTTCATATCCCATTTTACCTGCTTTAGAATAACAAAATGGAAATTTCTTCTGGCATGAATTTGATATCATTATGTATCATAAAAATGTTACATAAAATAGAAATTAACTTTGTAAAGAGTAATTTAGGAAATTCCCTAAGAATGGAGAATCCCATATAAGAGTGGAGAATCCCATATAAGTGATATTGAAAAAGCACACACTTATTCTGAAAATAAAATCAAGGTGAAAAGTATTAATAAGGTATTTAAAATGCACCCAGCCTCCTATGCTATAGGCTATAAATTAGGGAAGGTATGCAGTGTGCAGAGAGGTAAAAAGAATGAGAAGAACTACAATACACATTCCTATCCTCTAGGAACTAACAATTTTGCTTGGGACACAGAACCTGTCCATAAAAATTATAAGACATGACAGCAAATAATCGGCAAATAAAATGTGTAATACAGAATATAGAATAACATTAGATTACATTTCAGAGTAGATCTACCCCCACATTATGCTTTATTTGGGCTAAGATTAAAATTAGTTTGTGTTTTCTGAATTCAAAAGCTGGTGGCCAGGGTAAATATTTTACACACATGTTGTATGATAAAGGAAATCAACCTGACATTTAAAAATTAATGGTCACAATAAAAACAAATTAATTGTGTGTATGTATCGTGCTTTGTTAGAATAAAAGATCATTCTATCAAGCGCAGTCAAATATACAGTACGAACTGTGTGAATGGCCTAAAGACAATTTTGCCAATATGCTGTATTCAATCAGTTAGTCACTTTCTCAGCTTTTACTGAGTTGTGGTAATTTGCCTGCCCAGTGCCAGATGCTGGTTCGTCTACTCAGCATGGTATAGCCTCAAGATGCGAAATCTTTAGTCTCACCATTTATAAGGCCATATTTTCAGGAGGGCAGATTTTATTTTCTGTGTAAAGATATACAGTACTTGCTAAAAAGCAAGTGGTCATTCAGTAAACGTTTGTGGAGTTTATGGAATGGAATAAATAAACTCCGATGAAATTTGCAAAATTTGAAAGTTTTGGTTATATATGCATTGAGTTGCACTCCAATGCTCCATAGCCCTGTATAGAAGAAACAATTAATTCTATTTAACTTTACATCAATTCCTTCAAAATTTATTTTCCTTAATCATTTTTTTCACAAAAAACTTGTGTCGTTCAGAATTTATTTTTTAGTGGTTAAAAAGATATTTTCTGGCAATTTAAAAACAGAACTGAAATGGTAGTTAGACAATTTGTGAATAAAGAAATTAGAAATAGCTATAATAAATAATTTGATCAAAGGATGGTCATTTAAAATAGGATCTGGGTCTCCTTTTACTCAAATATTATATTCTAAATACATAAAAGTTCTTAATTGGCTTTTAAAGAGAAAGCACCCAACTTTATTTCCGAAGGAAAAAAGTATTTTTTATCTTAATAGGGTATTCTCAAGGAACTTTTTTCACATTTTTGTTAGATGTAAAGAATGTTTTGTAAATTTATTTATTTATAAACTAAATCCACTTGCATAATTAACCACTTAAATAAATCCACTGTGAGAACATTATAAAATAAATAATCCTCCTGCAAAGTGAATAATCATTTTGTCATTTGGATTTTCAAGAATAGTAATACCTTATTAACAAAGGATGTGTTCCTACCTCCTTTGTTAATAACGTCATTACTGAGATAGAAATAAATTGATATAATAAATACATTATATATAACATATATATAATGATTTTGCTTCCCTTACCTTGTACCTGACTCAGAGGGCTCCACCCGAGTCCACGGTGCCCAGCAATGTGGTCTAGTTACAAGGCACGGGCCAAGTTACCTCCTCTTAGTCATCGTCTCTCCCACTGAAAAATGTTCTTGTTAAATCTAGATAACAATAATTGTAAACTCCAGGAGGAATGGAATTTGTCTGTTCGTTGCTTTATCCTCTTTATCTAAAATAGCTCTTGGCGCAAAGTAGGAACTCAATAGATATTTTTGAATAAATCAATCTTCATTTAAAAAAGAACTTCGGTCTCAGTAGATTTGTTCTCTGAGGTACCATCACATCAAGTCTGTCCTACCCACAAACAAATTCTAAGATCTATAAACTGAATTTTGTTAGCTGTAGTTTACCTTGGCCTATATTAAGGATTAAATCATCAAAAGTGGGGACACAGACATAAGAGAAAAAACATTTAATATCACTCATATAAAATTTCTAAGAAGCTTTTAAAACTTTAAGATAAAGGTTATTCTATGACGTGATACAAGTTTCACAAAAGAAATCCCAAAAACAGTGACAAGAAAAATATAATATGTAGCCTATGTCAAAGGCAAAACCACTTGATTTTCCCCTTTGGGATTTCTAGAACAATGCAACAGGAAAAAACGAAGAAAAGAATTAATTCAGAGTCTATTACTCCTGTGTGTGCACGTGCATGTGTGTATTTATACATAAATATACATGACTTTACAATACCCACACCGATGTTGGGAAACCCCTACTCACTTGCTAGTTTAGAGCTCTTGTTATTTTTAAAATTATCACAAATTATATCAAGGGCACATAATGACCATTTGTAGCAGAAATTTACCTTTGCATGCTCCTGTATCATTGTTATTTATGATTACGAGTTCAACATTCTGTCAGGAGCTAGAAAACCAAATAACTCTATCATGAGATCATTCAATTTTAGAAAAAAGGAACATAATAGAAAAAAAATTACAATAGGAGGACTTTTAAAGTAAGTAACTCAGGACACTACTTTTTAAAAGCTTTATTTGCCAGTGCATGCTAAAGATCAAATAAACTGCAGGCCCAAAGAAATTAACAAAATCAGATTTTGTGAATGGCTGAGAATATTAAGAGGTCCTAACACAGATGGGATTTTTCTCCCTATCCAAAATAGAGACCAGTCAAGTAAAGAGCACAGGGAAGTCCAATATATGAAATAAAATTAAGTGTGAAATAAAATTTAAGTATAATGGAAAAAAATTCATGTAGTACCTAACATTTATCTTCAATGACTTTAATTGGTGAATTGGTTGTTTTCCCCCCTACATTTAGATGCTTTTCATAAGGTTTCTGGCATGTTCCTCCTTTTCTCTTCCCCCCACCTTGCTTTTTCCTTTCATTAATCATGAGAAACCTCAAAGTCACTGGGATGGTCGGATCTCACAGGCTGAGAACTTGTTCACCTCCAAGCATTTCATGAAAAACCTGGTTCTTATTAGTAATACAAACTCTCGCCATGATATGAAAGTTTGACAAATCTTGCAAAATAAAAAGTAATGACTTAGAAACTGAAAAAAAAATTTTGTCCTGGAACCCTGCTCAAACAGCCTTCTGCCCCCACTCCCCAGCTCGCCTTGTCCACCCACCGCCCCGTTCTTCCCGCCTCATCTCCACCTTTGGTATCTTCAGTCTTACATTACCTATACCCTTCTCCCTGTGAGTGCTCTGTGGCTTCATGTATGCGTGTGCATGTGATTTGTCAAGTAGATCACACGCTGCTAGAATAGTTACTTGTGTCTCTTGCTAGTTTATGCCCCATCTATGCCCAGGTAAAAAAGAAAAAAAAATAATAAAATAGCTGGAAGATTCTTTTTTTTTTTTTTTTATGCTTAACTCTTGATGTGTATATGGAAGATTCTTAATGTTTCATTTACTCTTTGCCTTGATCTTTACTGATCAGCCATAGACATACTAAAAAGAAGAAGAAAAACTATAAATGTATACTTTTAATTACAGAAGTAATTTTATATTACTGGCTAAACTCTGGAAAATAGAGAAAAATATAAAAACAAACAAAAAGCCCTCTATGTCTTTTTAATTTAATATAACTATTATCTTTTTTTAATATTCCCTTCCAAACTTTTTCATGTACATGTGTTTTTATAAGGTTACAATCAATACTGCACATACATTTTTTATTCTACTTTAACTTAATACTTTTCAGAGTTGCTAGTAGTTTTCTAAATTGTCATTGATAATTGTATAATATTCCACCTAGCAATTATACCATAATTTCCTAACCATTCCCCTATTATTGAATATTTAAGTTACTTCCAAATGTAGGTTCTTTTAACAATGCTTTTATGGAAGTCTTTGTGTATTTAGCTTTTCCTACATCCTCCAGCCCTTTGGAAAAATGTCCTAGAAGTTGGGGTAATAGCATCAGTGTACAAAATATTGCCCAATTGCTTTCTATGCAGCCTGAACTAAATTACAGTGACATCAGATACATATTATATGAGTATACATCTCTTCAATCCCTGAATTATAGGATTTAAATTTTTTTAAAAAAAACTATCATCAACTATCATCAACCTAGTGAACCAATTTACTAAGAAGGAAATCTTTTCTATTATTATTAAACTGGAATTAAAGTTTACAAATCCGTATCTTGTAAATCTGTTTAACACGAACCAGTCCTATAGAGCTGGATCATCCTCAGTGATTTTATAAATCTAATCTTTGAAGCTGTGGTCTTTGAATTGAAGACTCAGGATTCCTAGCAACAATTCTAAGCTAAAAAGAACCAGTGAGGCTCTGTCAAAGAAGTGAGCCAGCTAGACTCTCCTGACACAAGCTCATTGACAACACTGAGCTTTTCTAAGTAATAAAATGACACGCCAATGGGGGTGATTTTACAGGATAGTCCCAAGAGGTTCTATGACTAGGGAAAAATACAGCAAAGAACTAAAAATAATCCAAACTAAGTGCATTGACAAACAGGCTCCAAGCTACGAGGTGGGATGCAGGAACCATCCTGGACCAGGGGTTCCCAAACCCATCAGAATCCCTGAAACACAGATAGCTAGGCCGCACCTCCAGAATTTCTGACTCCCTAGGTCTGGGGTAGGGTCAAAGAATTAGCGTCTCCAACACATTCCCAGATGGTGCTGATGCTGCAGGTCCCAGGACCACACTTGGAGAACAATTGCCTTAGACTATTTCCTTATTCTTTTTAAAACATTTACTAAGTGCCTGCTAAGCACTGTGCTACATGCTGGAGATGGAGAGATGAGTAAAACCCAGTTGGTACCAGCCTTCGAGAAACTGATAATCTATAATTTTGCTGTCACTGAACTGCTCTATTCCTAAAAGGCAACAAATTTGAACCTTGTTGAAAGCAAAGTTTAAAAATATATTATACAGCCTTTAAATAAAATCAGGATGTTTCTAAGCAGTTCCAAATGCTTTAGGAAAACACAGTAATTCTACATTGCCAAATGCCTGGGTATTCTCTTCACTCTTCTGATCATACTGACATATGCAAATAATTTTTTTAAGTTTCTACTTCATTTATATTTATATTACTCATATGTTTGTTCTCTTTTACAAACTTTACCCACTATATAAAACAAGAGAAAGAATTTATATAGGCATTTTTCTGTGTGCAATCAAAAACTTGTTTACACAGGTAATTACCAACAGACAGACAAGAACATTTAGTAAGGTAAGACTCTGGGATTCTGTTTTAGATTCATAGACTTTAGGAAGACTACATAAAAAGTAATGACAAGTAAGCAATGTGCTTAGTCATTAGGCATGAGGATGGCTTATACCTAACTGCTAAATACCACCTATTAACTGATTCACAGAATTAATGAACTTGCTTTTGAGGTGGCTACTAAGTTTCTATTTCTCATAGAGATGTATTGGCTTGCCATAACCATTTCAAAAATAATAGAAAAATTAAGCACATATGAAATTTTATGATCTATGGATCTACCAGAAAATTAAGCATTATTTATATTTCCTTGGCACATTATTTTCAGAAGTGATTAAAAAGTCCTTATCATTTCAATCTATTAGGAAGCTACTTCAAAAGTCTGGAAGAGCTAATTCATGAAGAGACCCGATAATTTGTCCAATATCACAGAGAAAATAAAAGACATAGTAAAGAGGTGATATTCAGATATTTTATTACATTAAGCAACTACTAGCTCTTAAGTCTTTTTTCCCCCCCTGGATAAAAGAGGTAACTTTTATTGATCAACTATTACGTGCCCAGCATGTACTAAGTACTATCAGCTCTGATGATGGTTAATACATTCCTCACAATATCAGTAATTAGTTATAATTATTGCCTATAATTATAGATCAAGACATAAGGAGAAGAGAGATTAAAAACTTGAACACAGTCATAGCTCTTAAGTCTTAACTTTGATAACATTTCCTAGGC